TTGAAAAAGATTGAACACATATTCTGATCACCCCACTTATTCAGCTCCCGTATCGCTATTTTAAGTTTGTTAAAATTGTCCATGTAGAGAGTAAACTAATAATGGATACTGAATGGCCATGGATTATTTTATCTTTTTTTGATACCCAGCCATGGATTATTAATATTTTGGACTTATTGATGTCAATTTTTTATTTTGGAATAATTTAACGAAGAGTTTAATTTTGATATATTATCTGTGTAAATTTTTTACACTTTCATACCTTTTTATATTTGAAATGAGTTTAATTATGATAATGACTATCTAATATGTCAAATTTATTAAATGACGTGATCATATTATTACATGTAAATTTATAATGACAGAACGTCAAAATTATTTTCTTTAAAGATTTTATTAAAAAGATGATTATATAATTAATTACAATCTTGTCTAAGATTTTGACTAGTGTATGCCTTTCGATATTAATTAATTATTAAAGATATTATTGTGAGCTTTTGTTAGGATTAATTAGAAGGATTCTTAGTTCTTATTATTCTTGGTTCTACTTCAACAATATATATATATATATATATATATATATATATATTATATATTGTTTCAATTTTATGTTAAACAATATTTTGAATTATTATGCTGATAAATTAGTCTTAAACTTTATTTTTAACTTGAAAATTAACTATTATGAATTAGAAAAGAATAAATTATTACTATGTATATGTATTTATCTGGAATATATATCGTGTCTTAATGAGTTATCATACTTAACAAGAATTAGTGAATTACTCATGAGATTTGTAAGCAACCCAATCTATTTATATAAAAAATTTACAATCAATAATTATAAATAAATAATTACAATTTAAATATTGGAAAACGTATAAGTTAATTTCTAATTGATTACATAATATACAATCTCTGTATGTGGGATAATAATAATAATTACAAGAAAAGGATATAATTAGGAGAGATGATTGATAGCTGTTGTTTTTTTTATTCCAGGATCTTAATTACCTTTTTAAAGCAAATCATGTCCTCCAGTATCCTACGACCCAATGAGAAACAAGACCGCATAAATTTGAGACTAATTGTGATGATTTTTTACATTTAAAATCACTGACAAATTGATAAATAAAAAACAAACTGGTAAATTAAAAAAAAAAAGTATAACTGTTTTAAACTTAAATCGGTCTTGCAGATCAAAATAATTATTGCATAATAATTTTATAAAAAAAGTGGCTAGTTTATACCGATTATTCGGTCCATACCTTGAATAGTTTTGATGATAACAAATAAGTGAACTCAAGTTATCTAACAGTTTATTGCAGTATTTAATTTGTGATTAATTATGAAGAAGTGGATATGCAACAACATTATCATGAAACTGTAAAGATGGATGTTGCAAGATAAAATCTAAATTTCAAAAAATGATCGGATGAAGTGAATCGTGATTATGTCTTGAGTTACATTATATTAAAGATTTGGAAACGAACCCAAGTGTGGTGGCTCAGTTGATAATATGGGGACTGAATGGTGGGAGAGGACCTCGGTTCGAATCTCACCAACACCATCTGGGGAGGGGCATAAGTACCGTAATCCTTGGACTCGCACCCGAACTCTGGATTAGTCTCATAGGCGGCTTAAAGAGTCAAACCCGTGAGGATACACCGGGGGTTCTAATTCGCTTCAAAAAGGTAAGTAAGATAGTTAAAAAAAAAGATTTGGAAACGATAGATAATTTTTATTTTTAATCTAAATATATTCTGAAGATTTGATTTATGATTTGAAAAAAAAATAAAAATTATTTGAGATTAAATTTCTTTTTGAAAGATATGATTCTATTTTATGTAATTTTGAAAAGTTAATTTTTGAAAAATTATTTTGAAAATTTGATTCAATTTTTATAAATAAATTTTGAAAAAATTTCTAAAAAATCATGATAATATTTTAAAACAGATTTAATTAAAAAATGTAGAGATTTTTTTCCAAGAAATTGATTTTGAGAATTTTTTTATAAAAATTATATTTTGAGTCTTTCTTCAAAGTGTGGAATGTGGATGAGTATTCAAGAAAAAAGCGCATTGAACGTATTATGAGTATTTCTTCTTAAGGTATGCATTCAAAATTATTTGACAACCAAGGCATAAATAGATTCATTGAGTCCACTACTTAGGTTTGATTTATACTTATTTGCTTATTAATCAAAAGCGTGTAAGATATCTCTTAATTTAATTTTTATTTTCTTTTAGCGATTGTTGTAGTAGGCAATATGTAAGCAATTATTTAGTGATAACTGAGATTTTATGCTTTTAACTCAAGGTTAAGCTAAATATGTGTTTACCAATCGCCAGGGGGTAATTTACGAAGATAAATTGAGGAACCTAAATCTAGAGATAGATTTGGGTAAATTCTTGTATAAGGATAAAATATATTATATTCTTATACTTTGAATTGAGCTTGCCTCGTTGTAATGAATTTGTCTTCTAATTAGATGGAGATATTCGATTGAGGTCGTGAATTCTCCTATCATTTTGGAGTTTTTTTTCTTAAAACTATTTATGTTATCTCTGTACTATATTTTTATTTATCAAAATTATTATTGAAAAATTCGTATTGATTTAAATTTATAAAACTTACAAATTCAATACACCCCTCTTAAGTTGATCGGAAGTGGTGGTGAGTACTGAATAGGTGTGTATTGGTTGCAACAAGGATTTGGATGCATAAATAAAGAATGTGTCGCTCCCAAAGATTTCAGAGTGTTACAATGATACGGAAATAATAATATAGTGATCGTTTTGGTAATAATTAATTAGAAATCGTTTTGGTAATAATTAATTAGAATCTCACAAATCAAATGGTATTTGTTTTGGGTGAAGTGCCAACTAAAGATTCTAGATAACAGTTCCAAGTCAAACCTTTTACCAAACGTCTAACCTCCGAATTTGTTTGTCAACTCTTAAGGACTCCGCGAAAAAGATGGTTGATCATATTTTATTTGCAATGAATTTGGTGCCTTAAGTTATTATTTTTGTTAGTGATGTTAATTGCTTCACGAATCATGTATTGTTTATAGAGCAATGCTATATTTATAAATTTTTATAAATTAAATTATGTATTTCAGAAAATACAAATATTTAAATGTGTCCATTCCGAAATATATAGTTTAATTTATAAGAATTTATAATTTTTTTTATAAATATCACTTTCACCTTATTTATAATACAGATAAGACTAAAATGTCAAATTAAAACCTCACAGTGAATAGACTCTCATTATTATTTTTCTTTATTCTATATTTTGTTAGCTTCTTCTTCTCAGAGAGACCACATAGCAAACATCAAGTTTTTGGTATATCATGTAGTCACTTAGTTTTTAAAAAATGTGGATTACGATTTATTAACTGGACCCTTTTGCTTAACTACCCAAAAAAAAAAACTTCCCTTATGATCAACATTTATACAGCATGGCAAAGGACACTGATCACACTGTGATGTGAATTCTTCGCCCCTTATTGTTATTAATGAAATATCCCTTTCAATCATTTTCTTTATTCCCCATTCTTTAAATTTTTTATTTTCTAACTTTTTGCATTTTTCTGACAAAATGCCAATTTTATACCTAAGATTTAAGTAGACCACACCACGCCATGCCAATACTGTCTCCCTCTCTCCTTATTAGCAGTACCGAATTAATTCAAGCAATTCATATCAATTGTTTTATAATGATTCATTTATGAATGGGCTATATATGCCCTTACTTTTTGAAATCCAACAACTCCCCGATATAATAAAATTGATACATAATTTTCAATAGTTTTTAATTAATTAATGCTCTAGCTATTAGAATCTCACCACATAGAAACAAATTTGTAGATCTTAGCATTTAATCCTTGAAAATGAAATATCAGATCCATTCCTTCTGTAATTGTCACCAGAAACACCACAATTTCATGTTCATAAACATAACCATCTCCCATTATCTGTAACATAGGTAGAAATCTTCTTCTTCTCCTCCCTTTTTTTTTCTCAAAAATGCATTTCCTTTGAAAATTATAAAACAAGTTGACCCCAATGAAATTTAAAAATATAAAAAATAAAATAAAATAATCTAACATTGTATTTCCAATTCATGTTCTGCATTTGACATTTTTACCATTTTGACCAAACCCCAAAAACTTTGTGGTTCCCACGTAGGTACTAGGTAGTTCGGAACCACACAATAAGAATGCAAATTCACATAGGCGTGCTAAACAAACCCGAGGTCTTTTAGGGGTCTTTGGCTCGGCTAGTGAAAGTCTGAGCTTACATGTCTAAAATTAATTGTTAGAATTAGGCTTGGACTTATATAAAAAATCGTTTAATAAAAAAGGTCATAGGTTCCAATTGAAAAGTTCGACCTTAGAGCCTCTCAGGCTAGCTTAGTATATTAATTTTTATTTTTATTTTATATTTTTTATATTGCTTGCAATAGCTCTCTCTTCTCAATCTATTTCTCCTCATTTTATTGGTTAAACAGATTTTTTGAATGAATTTTATTTTTATTATGCTGTTTGGATATACATTGAATTTATGAATATTTATGTAATTACTAGCGCTGTTGATTGTATATTTTGTTTGAATAAATTTTTGTTGTCTTATTTTTTTTAAACAGGCTAAACCAGATTTTTATTTTTTGTAAATGAGGCCGATAATTATGTTCATAACAAATTAACAAGTAACAAATTTGGCCAGACTGATATATTTAAACAGAAACTTAACCTCTTAACACCAAAGTTCGGCTCGGTTCATTAACGCCCTTAGTGTAAACAGGCCCAAACAAGTCATTTCCACATGCAGAGTTACCCCAACACTTTCCGGTCACACAAGTCAATGTCTCCAAACACGAAGGGTATTTTGGTACTTTCGTTGGTCCCCCACCCTCGTCCTCTCTCAGACAATGATTTCCGTTCAAGAATGGCTTGCAGAGTTGGCAATGTCGTTCTTCTCCCTTACCTCACCGACCCTTACACTTAAAACCTGCTCTCTCACTCTTTAGCAGTTAAGCTGCTTCAATCCACACACCCACCTACTCTCTCTTTCTAAAAACTCAATAAAAATCCCATCTTTTTTTTTTTTTATTATTCTTGCTTTCTCTCTCTTCATTCTTTCATTTATTGCTTCCCTTCGCACACGCTTATTCATTCACTTCCTTCATTCATTGATTTCAGAAGAAAAGAAAAGGTTTTCACTACTAGGTGGGAAAAAAAGAAGAGAGAGAAGCTCTTTTGGGTTTTCACTGTTTCAGTGACAGGAAGAGATGCCTCTGGTGAGGTTGGAGGTGAGGAATGAGTTCGGTTTGGGGCAGCCTGAGCTCTACAGAGAGACCAACAGAGAAGACCCTAAAGCTGTGTTGGATGGTGTGGCTGTGGCGGGCCTCGTTGGGATCTTGAGGCAACTTGGTGATCTTGCTGAGTATGTCTTCTATCAATATGTTTTTTGTTTCTATTTTTGCTCAAATAGGTCAAATTTTTACACTTTTGGTATTTGTTTGGGATATGGGGTTGGTTAATTTCAGTTGTTTTGAGGCTTTGTTGAGGTTTGAGGTTGTGGGTTGCTGAGTGAGCTGGTTTTGGTGGTAACATAATGGGTCTAAGTTTTTGTTTAGGAAGAAGGACACTTAGCCGTTAGAATTCAGGTCTATTTTTCGGTTTTTGGGCCAAATTTCAATTGATAAGGTGACAAAGTGCTCTTTGACTTTTTATATTTTTTGAGCTTTTCCATTTGAGGTACTTAAGCTTGCAGACAAATAAACAATTATAAGTTATTTGCAGCTATTGTTCTCTCTTCCATTTCTTCTAGAGGTTATTTCTTTTAACTAATTGCATCTTATACTTCATTAAAACAGCTATAGATATAGTCCGCTGTAGAAGGAATATGACTAATCTAAACGGTATTGTGGAATTTTCCTTGTTTTCGGACCTCCATTTCTGATATATACCACTTTCCTCCCCTCTGCTTTACTCCCTACTTGTTTAGATCCTATATGGCTTTTACTTGTTTTCTTTGTATAATGCAATAGTAATTCTTACCATGATGCTCAAAGGGTTTGCTCAAGCAATCATTAAAAGATGAATGGACCACAAACTCTTGAGTATATTTTGATTTGGGTTTTAATAAGTTTGGACTATTGTTGTGAAAGAGTTTAGAGTAAGTTCCCATATTTGTCATTAGACTGTTTGCCAAGTTGGACATCGCTGCTATTTGTTGAAATAAATCATGAAAAGTTATAATGTTGAAGTAAATAATGATTTAGCTTGTGTTGGATTCAATTTAATCTCTCCCAATGCCCACCCTCTTTACTTTCATCTGTTTTCATGTTTGGTATGCGCCCCGTTATCTGGTGTAAATATAATAAACAGTTCCTGATAACTATGACATTTGCTCCATGCCTCTGAAAACCTTGTTTAATATTCATGTTATGAATGCAATTTAATCAAAGTAGTTCTAGTTTTCCTTCTGGTATTTGTATTGATGTTCAGTTTAGCTGATGAAACTATTATGAAAATGTAGTTTTGCAGCAGAGGTTTTTCATGGTCTGCAGGAGCAAGTAATGACAACAGCTTCTAGGAGTCATAGATTGATGGTTCGTGTTCAAAACATTGAAGCTTCCCTACCTCCCTTGGAGAAGGCTGTATTGGCACAAACAAGCCACATACATTTTGCTTACACAGCTGGTATGGTTCTTTTAGCCAATGATCTTATCCTATGGGTGGATTTACAGGAAATATTATGATTATTATTATTATTTTCATTCAGAAGATTATATTTCCTTACTGAATGTCATTGCTTAAGAAAGATAGTTTTTGTATTTTGCTTAATAGATTGTATCTTTACCAAATTTTTATTTTAAGGGAATTTTGAAATCCACAAACATATTTTTATTTTTCTCTCAAAATACGTCTTGGAATAAAATTCAGAAAAAGGACAAAGTGTTTTATTGTAAATAAATACATCCTAGATAATGTGTAGAATGTAAATCATTATGATTTTAGAAGTTCTCATATGATATTAGCATATTATATGCCCTGATCAAATAGAGTAGCTTTTGAGATGGTTATTCTTGTGTTAGTAGTTGAGTATATTTCAAATTTCTTAAACTTGTTTCTTTGAACAGAATCTTTAGATAAACCAATCATCACAAAACATTAATTTACATTCTAGAATTTGTATCAATGGAAATAAATGATGTAAAAGGCTTTGATTTGTTTTTCTAATGTTATGCTAGTCAGGCAGCTGAGTTATATTGAAGTTTTGTTGTTTTCAATGCATTTTTCTTTGTATTTATTTGGATGGTTCATAATATCCACTTTCATGGGGAAATTGCTCTGAGAAATTTCATTTGTCTCTGTGGGTGCGTCATAGTCAAATATAGATCATTGTTAGCATGCAAGCTCTTAAATTGTTAGGGGACCTATAAATATTTAAGGAAAACAAGAAGCACTGTGGTTGGTGGAGTATTCATGTCTTCAATAGGTTCAGTGAGTCAAGGTATCATGATGAAATAGAGGCTGATCATTGTTGAATATAGTCATGATTTACTTATATATAATAAAACGAAGATGATGTACAACCTGTATCAACACCTTGTTTGTGAATTGTTTTTTGTTTGACATGGGAGCCCAGAGTCGTATGGGAACTGCGAATGATGCTAAAACTCAACCTCATAACTTTTACTTTTATCATTCAGACTGAAGTGTTTTATCTCAGATCATTTTTAAACTGATTCAGCACATATTTGAGCAGTCAAGTGGCAGTAAGATAGCTTTATACACTTTTAAGATAACATACATCTATATATTATTCTAAGTTATGGAATGCTACATTTTTTAATGATTATGGTTTTGATGTTCAGACAATAAAAGAGTCCTTAATGAAATGCAGTTTACTTTCAGGTTGTGAATGGCATCCACGAATAAAAACTGCTCGAAATCATTTCATTTACAATGACTTGCCTCACTTTATTATGGATTCATATGAAGAATGCCGTGACCCTCCACGCATGCACTTGCTTGATAAGTATGATGAAATTTCTTTTGATTCCCTTACTCCCTCGGTTTTGTCTTTCTGTTTGAGAATAGCAAGATAAGTTAGGCATCAAAGCTTAAACTAATTTCAAAATTATAGATGTTATAAATTACATTCTCATTCAAATTTGTACGGGTATCCCTGGATCATACTCCTTTCCTACTTGCTCTTTCTCTCTTTTCGGCTTTGAAATTTTCAAGTACTGTGAGCTCATTCTACTTAAATTAAGTGTCCTTTACTGGTTAATGAAATATTTCCTGTGTCAATCAGATTCGATACTGGTGGCCCAGGATCTTGTTTCAGGAGATATTCAGATCCAGCCTTCTTCAAGAGAGTATCTGCAGATTCAGATGAATCATACCCTGCGAAGACTGAAACAGCTAGGAAATCCCGTAAAAAGGTACTATAATGATCATCTCGTTGGGAAGACTATTTTTAACTAAGTTCCATTCCTGCCATATGCATGCCTTTAATTTCTTTGCAAACAATTTCTTGGTGCTTATATAAAAAAATTTGGACAGAAGAAAAGGTCATCACGAAGGAATGGAGAACTTTTGAGGGGTGAACAGATGCATAGCAGTAGTGGCAGGTATTACATCTACATGTCTATTGCATACTCACTAATGATGTTTTCTTATTAATTCAAAATCAACACTTACATAGTGTATTGGCTACCCAGAATGCAATCTATTTCTTCCACTATCAATGGGCGAACTTCTTTCTCGCAAACAGCCTCCACAATAGACATGACAATGAAATCAGACCTGGAAGATCATTCAAATTCTTTTGATTCAAAGTCTGATGCTGGCTACATTGAATGTGTTTTCCATCCAAGGAATTCTATGCAATCTGATGAGCAGGATTATAAGGAACCATCCTCTTCAAGTTTGACACAGAAAACCAATACTCTTGAGTCAGTGTCTCCTCTTGTAGATGATGATAGTATTTCCCATGATTCATTGGAAAAGCAAATTGCCTCTAGTTCATCTGGTGTTACTTGGGATGAAAAGGAAGAGATCTTGGAATCTAAGAGTCTAGCCTGTGATAGAGATAAAAGTCCGGAGAGACTTGTGGAAAATCATGACTCAGATATGCATGTCAATGAGGCTGTTACCATAACAAATATTGATCACAATGATATCCTATTTAATGAAGAAATCAACCTGAGACCACTTTCGAGCCAGGTTCAAACAGATGATATTGATAGTGAACCTGACAATTTCATGGATGCTCTTAACACCATCGAATCAGAATCTGAAAATGATCTTGATTGTGAAACAAAACGAGAGGTGCAGCAGTTCACCTCACATGTAACTCATGGAATGATTGAAAATGGAGTTACTGAAGCTCCTAGTTTAATCGACAATAACTTATCCAATGTTGTTTCCCGGACTGGATATACTGTTCCCTTAAGTAATGAAACAGGCGAGGATTTCCCAGACTCACTGCAAGAAAATCATCCTCTCATATCAGAGCCACATGCATCTAATTTGGGATCTGTGAGTCCTTCAGATGTTCTTGATAGTGAAAATATGACCAGAGACACTGTTTCCTTAAACAAAGAAACATTGAGGGATTTGCCTGACTCACTGCCAGAAATTCCTCCTCTCACATCAGAGCCATCTAATATGGGATCTGTGGGTCCATCAGTTGTTCCTGATAGCGAAGAAATGACCAGAGACACTGTTTCCTTTAACAACAAAGCAACGTTCATGAATTTGCCAGACTCATTGCCAGAAATTCCGCCTCTCACATCAGAGCCTCATGCATCTAATTCAGGGTCTGTGAATCCACCAGATTCTCCTGTTAGCAAAGAAATAACCAAGAATGTAGCTGCTTCTCATTCCTCTGAGAGTCCCAACTGTGAACAGGTTCCTCACAAATGTGGAAATTCTGTTTTGGATCAATCTGTATGCACTGATACCTTAATTGGTTCTTATGCTGTTAATGACCGAGTGTCAGCACCCATTGAAACTGATGTATCATTTTCTGGTTCTAAAAGCTCTAATTTACCTGAGGAAGAAGAAGGTAAGATCAATAACAATATCTGCAAATATGAAGAGACTCGTAGAGAGTCTTCAGGTGATCATTCAGTTAGGTTCTGGACTAATGGTGGATTATTAGGACTTGAGCCCTCAAAACCTCCTGACTTTAACATGTCGAGTTCTTTAAGTCAAGGGTCTTCGAGCACAAAAAGTGAGATGGATTCTGGTTCACGTCATAATTCAATGCAAAAAAGCAATGCTTTTAAAAAGGAACGGGAATTATCAGATGAAGTTGCTGAACAGATTCAAAAGGAATCAAGTTCTAGATTCTTATCATCAAGCCAAAATGATGACCAAGCTTGTACCTCTGCTAAGATCTCTGGCTGTAATCAGCTGAGTAATGGATCTGATCAAACTGAGAGGAACACTTTGGGGGAAATCAAGGTAATTGCACCCGGAAGTGTTCTCCCAGCTGCCCCTGACAAGAAGGATAGTGCTGAACCCAACCTGGGAAATGGTGAAAACTCATCGCGGGTGTTTGGACTTGGTCATAGATTATTAATAAATAGCTTTCACCGGAAAGTTTCTTTTGATGAAAAATCTGGACCTTATAATTCTCTGAAATCTGTTATATTGGAGCAGAGTGGACAAAATGGTATTGTTGGGCAATCACTTCCCGAGACAACAACCTTCAAAGAGAAAGTTGGTTCTGGATATCCTATAGATTCGCTTCCTCCTTCACCGCCACTTGAACATATGAAAATATCATTCCATCCTGTCAGTGGACTTGAGGCTTCCAAACTAAAACTGAAATTTCCTGATGGCAGTAATCATCATGATAGTGTAAGGGATATGTTTCCTTCGTACCAGTTGGTCCCAGATTCTTCCATTCCTCTGGATGATTCCGCCTCTCATTCTGATGACGATGACACTTTTTGTAAATCATCTTCTTATGTTTCAGATGATTGTCAGAGCGCCCGCTCTGACTATAATTCTGATCAGTGGGAATCTGATGAAACTCCTGAAAGCAGTGACCATGGTGTACATGATTCTCCTCACAGAAGGTCATCAACTGAATCTATGTTAAGTGCAAAAGAACATGGTGGAGTGTCCAACGATGATACCAATGTAATAAGTGGACATGGTACATATACTACCAATGTTGTGGAACCTTCTTTATCTGGCCCTTTACTTGATTTTCCAAGTTTTGATAATGTGAATCCCGTACTTGAGAAAGAAAGTAGTAAGCATTCCAAATGCAATGATGCTGTTGTGTTGCATAGTCATGCAGAGCCTCCTCCACTACTACCACCACCACCACCTCCTCTTCCTCCAACGCTATGGTGTGTCTCAAAACCACAGTTGGATATGACAAATGGGACACAAAATTATATGTATGAAGATGCTGAACATATCAATTATCAAAGTCTTCCAGAATCTACCATCTTGCAGCAACCTAGGCTTGCTGAGGTTGAGCAAATACAAATCAATCACGATGGTCATGAGTCTTATGACAACATTATACATAAACTGAAGGACAAGGTATTCATTTGGTCTCACCTCTTTTTCTTGAACATTATATTGATGCAACCATGGTGGATAATGGAATCTAGTAAAGTATTCATCTTGTTCAGCCTTTCCTGCAGCTGGATCAGAAGAAGTTGAATCATCAGAAGGAAGCAAATCAGTTGATAATGGGAAAGGAAATGGATGAAAGAGAAGATTTCCTATATCAAATCAGAACGAAAGTAAGTGGTCATTTATAATCTCAACGATTTTAAGTGTAAATATTAATTTTTGTCCTCCAAAGATATATCATCAAGTTCATCCTTCATTTATATATACATCAAAATGGTCATCAAATATTAAATTCTTGAGATCAAATTATTCTTCCAAATGACGAAACTGATGACAAAAATTAACATTGGAGGATTATTTTGGTGTATTTATAATTGGAGGACTAACATGATGATGATACTTATAATTTTGGAGGACCTAATGCACATTTGTTCATGATTTGATAAATGACGATTATGATGAATATGTAGTTATTCCACTAATATTTCCCCTTCTCATTGCTGGATGGAAACTTGATGAATTTGACTGGTGAATTTCTAGTCGTCAATAAATTACATTCTCTACTAGGACTAAGGATATCTGTTTGACTTGTAATTATATATATATAGGAAATACTTTTCTTATTGTTAGAAAAAAGTTATCTCATGTTGTAAAAATAAAATTATAAGTGGGACCCACAGGTAAGAGGAGAGAGAAAAAAAAGTGGTGGGACCCAATATCTTTTTGTGTGTGTAGGAAAATTATTTATCTCATGTAAAATGAGATAAACATAACCCTATATATATATATAGAAAAAATATTTCTACATCCACTTTAACTAAGGTTATCTACACTGTCAGAAGTATGGAATCTAGACCATAATCATGATCTTGCAAAATTAAGTTGTAAATTGAGGAAACATGTTTATTGTAGCTAACTTTTGCATTGCTTGTCATTTATCGGTTCAGTCCTTCAACCTGAGGCCCACAGTAACAGGAAAGCCAAATGATACCACTGGTCCCACTGCCAACGTCAAAGTTACAGCAATTTTAGAGAAAGCAAATGCAATCCGTCAGGTATTGTTATCTAATACTCTTTTCCACTGTTTATGGTGTTTGCAATTTGTATCTAACTTAGCATCCATAATGGAGAGACTTTCAGGTTGTTGCAGCGAGTGATGATGGCGAAGATGATGATAACTGGAGTGATACGTGATTTTTATTTTATTTTTTTAAATATTTTTTAATTTTCATACATGAATAGTTCTCCATGTTATATAGCCTCTTGCAGTCACGTTGCATGAGGCTTTGTTGTATGTACGCATGTGTGAATAAATCTTGTGTATGTATTATTAAGTATAGTGCAGCAGCAGCTAGTTTCTCTAATTTTATTTTCATTTGAATTTATGTCTTTATATGTAGTTTTTGCTTCAAGTCTCTGAGCAGGCTCATTGGCGATTTGTCTATACAAATTTCCTGAAAAAGAATATGATAATTCAGAGTACATTGTTTAAATAATCATTAGTTTTTTTTTTTTTAAATTAGACTATATTCTTCTTTAAGTAATTTTAAGGGCATATCCATTGTTGTAAAAAACTAATCTAAAAATGTAAAAATATAGAAACAGTATAAACGTACGTAAACACGTAAGTAGAAATAGTTTTTAGTAAAAATCGATAAAAATGCCGTGCAGAAACATAAAAGTGGTAGAAACATAAGTTTGTACGTATTTTTATCGTTTTCGCTTAAACTCAATTTTTTTTAAAAAAAAAAACTTATTTTTCATTTTTTTAAATTCAATTTTTTCTTTTAATGTTTTTAGACTTATATCTTATATAGTTATGTGATTTATATTTTTAAAAAATATAAAGTTATTTATTAAATTTTAAGTAGTGACTTATATGAAATTTTTTTACATGCATATATATATAGGGGTTTGCATCCATCATGTAACAAGACACAAAAAAGTTTCCTACACACACAACATTTTGTGGGCTCCGCATTTTTTGAAAAAAAAAAAAAACTAAGGCACGGAAAACGAATCTGTATAACATGTCACAATCACTTTTCCTACAACATAACTCTTATAAAACCCATATATATAATTTTGTATCCTGATTTTAAGTAATAAAAACTTTACGTTTCGTATCATTTCTACTACCCTATTCTGTTTTTACGTAAAAACTCGATTTTGACAATATTAGGTATACCCCCTGTACTAAAATGATGAATTTAGGAGAATAAATTTATTTGTTATAAGCTTAATATAACTCCTTCGTGAATTTTATGTTAAATTACTTTGTAGATTCTTTTGGGTTTGCTAAATTTTAAACATGTTCCTTTAAATTTTTTTAACTAAGTTCTTAAATTCTTAAAAAAATTTAAAGTCATTATTATTTTGCTACTATTTCTGGACTTAATTATAAAATTTTATAATTATTAAGACCTAATTAAAAAATTCATTAAATAATAAAGCCTTATTAAAAAAAATTAGAATAAAAAACTTGTTTTAAAAATTGTATATTATAATTACCTATTTAACAATGGGTTTTTTTTTCTACCGTCAATGTAGATAAATTATTTATATTGAGCCCAAAACGACATCGTTTTGAGGTGAAAATCAAAATATTTTTGTAATTATAATTTATTTCAGGGTTATAATGGTCTTTTTTATTATAATTTTTTAATTTTTCAACCCAAAACAACGTGTTTTGAGAACAAATGTAAATAACTAATCTAAGAAACATTAAAGCGTTTAACAATTTAATAAAACCATAAGCTCTTAGGGGGCGTTTGGTTGAGGAAAATTTTAATGAATAATAGGGAAATGATATGCATAGGGAAATAGTTGGAAAATGAGTTTGGTAGAAAAATGTAAAAAAAAGTTGTTTGGGTGGAAAAAATTTGACCGGGAAAATTAAGTAACTTTTATAAAATCTATGTTTGGCTGTAGATAAAGTATAGATAGGAAAAAAAGATGCTATTACGAAAATAACCCTGTTTTTAAAAATTATAAACAAAATCACGCACTGCATTCAGTAACGAATATTAAATACAAAAACTACAAGTTGGGGCACACTTCATACAACTATTTATGAATACATATTTGATGGCATAATCGTTCTGTATACATGAATAATCTTTCATTCTCAGGCAAAGTCATTAAATACATTTCAGGTTTAAAAAATTATCGTTTTGGATCCTGATGACATTCAAGTATGATTATTGTCCTTTGCGATAACGCCGTTAGGGGGAACGTCTTCTTCAACACCACTGTTTGGAGGACCAACTTTCGCGACGACGTCATTTGGAGCAGCATCTTCAGCTTCAACGATGTCGTTTAGTGGATCGTCATCAGCGACAACGCTGTTCGGGGGAACGTCTTCTTCAACGACGGCGTTTGGGGGAACAACTTCTGCAACTACACTGTTTGGAGGTACGTCTGGGGGAACATCTTCTGCTGCAACGATGGGGTTTGGTTTGGGAGATCGTCTGGAGCATCATTATCCTCCTCCTCCTCCGCTGCAACTACGTCGTTTGGAGCGCTTAATGTTTTCTCATCTTCGTCATCAGCTGCAACTACGACTCCTTTGTTCTCAAGCGCATTCCCTTCTGTGCTTCTTCACTTTTGCGCGCTATTTGGACGGTACGCTCGTCATCTCATTCTTGCCCAATGTGACCATTTAGGTAGCTAAAATGCAATACCACATATCAAGAGAGAATATTTGGCCGGCTTTCTTAATCAGATAGACATACAAATTATTTCTGTGGCATAATGATTTAGGTAGGCATATATTTAAAACTTTTAAACTAAACAAGGGCACCCAATAATTCCACTTCTCAAATGCCCATGTATCATAATTTTCTAATCAAACACACCCTTATAACTATTGCTATCTTTTCCCGTCACAACTCTCAGCGGGCCCTTCCTCTCTGCCTCTACGGCTCTACCTATTGACTCTGACAATTTTAATTTTTTGTTTACAATTTTTTTTAATTTCCATGCCTAAATAAGAATCCTCTAGAGGCCTGTGATGACTACTTTACACAGCACTATTGGATCTTCGAGCAGGAAACTGAATAACACTCTTGGATGCTGCTCAAGTGCTCATGAGTTCAAAGTCAAATGCTCGTACAGAATAATGTGCTCTGCAGTTATTGTAGGGGAACACAATCACTAATAAAACAAATGGCAAGTAGCATAAACATAGAAGGTTGTAGTTTACCAGTAGAATTATATAAAAAACATAGACAATAAAATGAGAAAAACATATGGCTGAATCAAAACATAGGATCACAACTCCAACCATCAAAACCAGTACATCTATTTATCCCTTTCAATTTATAAAAGCAAGAAAGCCTTACTTTTAGTTACTCTCGTCGCAGTCTCTGATAATTCACAAAAATAAGTCAAGATTTTGGTAGCCTTCTAATACTTTTTCTGTACATGTTATGTAGCCTTCATTTTTATTTTATTTTTAATTTTGGGACGGTTATATTACTTATCTATATAATTTTCCTACCCATTTTTTGATTACCATTTATTATATTTAAATCAACAGTGATAAACAATTAATGTAATTAGTTGAGAAAAATAAAGGAGAGATAAATAAAATAAAATATTATTATATTTAGAACCAATGATTTAAATATGATGAATGGTGATAAAAAAGATAATAAGGCTAAGAAGATTAAATAACTAGGCAATATAATCATCCTCTTTTTATTTATATTAGGAAAAAGTTCACCAATATTCCTGTGATTTGCTTCAGAATCACTTATATCTCTGTGATTTTTTTTATCACATATGTCCCTGTGGTTTGTAAAAAGGTATATTTTTTTATCACATATGTCCCTGTGATTTTTTATTTTTTTACAAAGCACAAGAACATATGTGATAAAAAAATCACAGAGACATAAATGATTTTGAAGCAAACCACATGAGTATAGGTGAAGTTTTCCCTTTATATTATTAGAAGTTATGCGTAGTTGTTTTTTGTTGTTGTTGTTGTGCTGTACAACTTTTGCGGGGAGCCATGTCACAACGCATATCCGCCGCTGTTAATAACATGGATGTGAACCAACAAGGTGTTGGCCAAGTGGAAGCATGCTTGGTCCCCGTAAGGTGGAGGACTCAAGTTCTACACCGGGAAGCGCATCTATTGGGAGGGGAGTACCCTTGTTGCTCTCAGCCCCCGATCGGATTAGTCCTAAAGGATGAACCGGTTAGTAGAAATACTAAAAAAAATAAAAAAATAACATGCATGTGATGCGATTATGACCCTGAATCATAGGCAAAGGTCCACTTAAAGGGTTGCCTAAAAATGTATGGTATTCTTTACTCAAAAAAAAATAAAAATGTATGGTATTATATACAAAAAAAAAAAAAAAATGTATGCTATTCTAATTAAAGGAAAATAACTAGAAATAAAAGCAAATGGATTGAACAAAATGAAAAAATGCGTAGATGTTCTCTCGTCTTTTTCTTTCTTTTTCATCCCTCGCTTAAAAAATATTATGCTTTATTGTTTCAGAAATTTATGAGGTATTATTTTATTTTTATTTTCACCTTTGTCTCTTAGTATTTTTTTAAAATAGAATAAAATTAATTGAGTTATATTATTTTAAAAAAGACTAAATTAGTCCATTTCTATTAAAAAAAACTTTACTTCCTTAATTATTATGTGATTATCTCGAATTAGAATGAAAAAAATAACGAATATTGCATTGATTATAATTATAGAAAACAATAAATATTCTTCAACTAACCTAAAGATTTAAATGAAAAGAAAAATCTTCAATACGGTGTGAACTTAACAAATATATAGTATTTTCTTCTTTAAATAATGAAAAGCATTTAATATATGGAAGATATATCAAATAATTCTTACTGATTGTATTGTATGAAATCATGCCTTAGCAATAACATAAATAATATTCCATGATTTATGTCTCTTGGTGATATCGATGGAACGGAGCCAATTAAAAGCTTGTAAATTAGGTTTTTCTTTAAATTAAATAAGTTATTTATCCTTGAATTTTAGTAAATTAAAATCACAATGTATTTAAAATAAATTAATAATAGGTTTATATATAAATAATTCCTTTAAAAGCAACTTCACTTTAAAGTAATGTTAATACGTTAGGTTATAACATTGAATTTGTTGTGAGGATAGTTATTTTCCTGATAATAAAATCACCTTTTCTTTCAACTGAAAAAATAAAAAAAATAAAAAATCACCTTTTCACTGACTCCTGCTGTCAAACTAATTTTGCACTGCAAAGTATAAATATTCAAAAGATCTCAAGAAGAATCTATGTAAATATGTATATGCTTCTGAAATCAATCTTAATTAACTCATGCCTTTTTGTAGTTCTCTTTAATATATAGCTTTACCCATTT